TTCTTGGGAAATTTAAGAAAAAATAGTTAGGGCTGGAGAGATGGCTCAGAGGTTAAGAGCACTGGCTGCTCTTCCAGAGGTCCTGAGTTCAATTCCCAGCAACCACATGGTGGCTCACAACCATCTGTACTGACATCTGGTGCCCTCCTCTGGCATGTGGGCAGAGGCAGAATGTTGTATACATAATAAATAAATAAATCTTTAAAAAAAAAAGAAAAAATAGTTAAATTTATAGACATATAATATGATATGTCTATCTATAATATAATAAGTCAAGAAGATAAAAAAAAAACAGACATAACAACCAATGAGATTGAAGCAGTAACAAAATGTCTCCCAAAAAAGACAAGCCCAGGACCAGATGGGCTTATTACCAACTCCTACCAAACCTTCAAAGAAAAGCCGACATCAGTGCTTCTAAAACTGTGCCATAAAATAGAAAAGAAAGGAACATTACCAAGCTCATCCTACAAAGGCAACGAATACCCTAATAACAAAAGTGTATAAGGGCACAACAGAGAAAGAAAACTACAGACTAGTTTCCCTGATGAACATAGAGCAAAGAATTCTCAACAAAATTCTGACAAACCAAATTCAAGAACACATCAACAAGACCAAGTTGATTTCATGCCAGGAACACAACATTGGCTCAACAAATGCAAATCAGGATGTATAATTCAGCACAAAACAGATTTGAGGACAGAATTACATGATCAGTTGATCAGAAGATGCAGAAAAGGCCTTTAACGAGGTCAACATTCTTTCATGGCAAAAGCCTTGAAGAAACTAGAAATGGAAGGAACATACCTCAACAAAATAAAGGCTATATAAAACAAACTTACAGCCAACATTATACTAAGTGGGAAGACACAGAGTATTTCCTCTAAACTCTGGAATGAATTCAAGGTATTCACTTTTTCCATTTCTATTCAATGTGGTGGTCTAAGTCTTAGCTGGAGCAGTAAAGACCAGAGAATGATGTAAAGGGATCCAAACAGTAAAGAAAGAAGAGTTAAGTTACTCTGATTTGCAGGCAACATGATCTTGTATTAAAAAAAAAAAAAAAAAAAAAAAAAAAAAAAAAAAAACTCCACAAAGAAACCTTTAAGACTTGGTAAATGCTTTCAACAAAGTAGCAGGATACAAAATCAACACACCAAAATATTAGGTTCTATGTATATCAATAATGAACTTCCCCAAAAGGAACACACGGGGTGGGGAACATCTCATTCACGATAGCTTCAAAATAAAAACAAAACACCTAGGGTTAGCCAAGGAGATGGGGACGTCTAAAATAAAGTGGTTTTATTTGTTTGTTTGTTTGTTTGTTTGTTTTAGTGTGTGTGTGTTAAAAGGGTCTTACTCTGTAGCCCAGGCTGGACTTAAATTTAGAGAGCTGCTTCTCCCAAGCGTTGTTATTAAAGGTGTGTGCCACTACATAAATCTGGCTTAAAGTGAAGTTTTGGAAGCAGCAAAGAAAGGAAGAGAAGACATTAGACAACAGGAAGACACAACCCCCTGGTAGGGATCCCCACATCTGCTGCAGCTCTATCCCCACTGTCTTGAGAACCTCACTCCTTACACACCCCACCAACTACCACAGTGACTCCAATCCTTTACCTAGGACCACCAGCAGAACTGACTGAACCTTCCACAGATTTCTGGGAACCTGCTGCAGTGAGAACATTCTAACTCTATAGAAAGTTAGTTTCTGTACTCAGAAGCAAGCCATAGCCCTAGCCTCGGATGATCTGGGACCCCATTCACGCAACACCACCTAGTAGCTCCAAAACTGAACTCGAAACACCAGCTGTTCCATAATCTGACAATTTGGGGTAATAGCAAACATAGATCCAAATGTCTACTCAGCAAAGGTAGGGCAATAGCCATACCAAAAACCACAAAACAAAGCAAAATCAACAACAAAAGAAAAACATGACCTAACTTCAGGTACCTAAAGCCCATTGCAAAGCACAAATACCAGAAATAAACAAGACAGAATGTCTCCTCCAAAAACAAGGACTCCTATATTTATCTCCCCCTTGGAAAGGCAATTTAATGGTTTCAAAATATTAATTATAAACATGCTCAAGCCTGACTCAAAGAGGATATGCATAAAAGCCAGTATGAAGACCACAAAAACACAATCTCCTGACTGACACGAGGAAAAAAAATCAGGATATGAAAGAACAATTTAGTAAAGAGCATTTCTGAATGCCCGACTGAAATAAAACGTGAAACGGAAAATTTAATAAGCCAAATAAAAAGCTCCGTGGAAAGCCTGGCCAACCGAATGATCAAGCGGAAAAGAGGATATTAGTGCTTGAAGATACGGATAGCGAAAATAATCCTGAGCGATAAAAACTGCAGAGGTTACCCGCAGCCCAGATGTGAAGTTATACTACAGAAAATAGCATTGTACCAACATAGAAACAGACACACTGATTGACAGCGCAGACTGAAGACCCCAATTAAGCCTGCACTCCCACAGCCACCTGAGTTTGGACAGGAAAGCCATACGTGTACATTGTGAGAAAGACAGTATCTTCAACAACTGATACTGATGGAACTGGAGAGCTCCATGGAGAAGGGTTAAAGTTGACCCTTATCATTTACCCTGCACCAAACTCAACTCCCAATGGACCAAGGACCAAGCATAGCACTTGATACCCTGAAATGGCTAGTGAACAGAGTAGAAACTATGTTTCAAATCGTAGGCACAGGAAGGAATTTTCTGACAGGACCCCAGTAGTGCAGACCAACGATTGGCAAATGACAGGAAAAAGCTTCACAGCAAAGGGCCACTACCATAGGAACAAAGAGACAGCTTGCAGAAGGGGGAGGACATCTTTACCAACTGTACATCTGACAGTCTTGAAACAAACACCCCCATTAAAACTGGGGCACAGAACAAAATAGAATTCTCAAAGGAAGGAAAGCAAATAGCTGAGAGGCCTTTTAAAATGTTCAACATCTCTAGCCACTGGGAAAATGCAAACAATTCCATCTTACCCACCTATGAACCCTGAGAGTTACAAGAGCAAGTAAGCATGGATGTTACAAGGATAGCCAGTTACTTGCTGATTGAATTTAAGGCCTGCTCCACAAGACAGGACTTGTGGATACGGGTATGGAAGAACCAGAACTACCAAAGTTCCCAGCTATACAATCCTACAAACATGTACCAAGTACTCCAGGGAAACACACCAAGGAAATACTGACACATCCATATTTATTGTTATCTCATTCTCAATATCCAGGGAATAAAAACCAGCCTAGATATTCATCAACAGATGAATGAATTAAACATATTGAACAGGTAAAGAAAAATGGAATTGTGATGTATGCAGGAAAATGAATGGAACTGAAATCATTGTGAGGTAAAATAAACTCAGAAATTTCATGTTTTGTTCTTATATGAAGAACCTAGTTTGGGGCTGGAGAGATAGCTCAGTGGTTAAGAGCACTGTCTGTTCTTCCAGAGGTTCTGAGTTCATTTCCCAGCAACCACATGGTGGTTCACAACCATCTGTAATGAGATCTGGCGCCCTCTTCTGGTGTGTGGGCATACATGGAGGCAGAATGTTGTATACATAATAAATAAATAAATCATTACAAAAAAAGAACCTAGTTTACAATGAGGGGGACTAGGGAAGAGGAGTTATGAAGTTATAAAGGAAACATGAGTTATGAAGTTATAAAGGGGACACTAGAAAAATCTTAGTGGAAGTGAAATGGAGGGTTATAGAATATATGTGATAAGAATAGAAGGGGCTACTGGGGGAAGGAAAGGAACCAGTCAGAGAGGAGAAGAAGAGAAGACAGTGGGGAGGGAACCAAATATGCATAAAGTAAGACACATCAAGTATGAAAATGACATAATAAAGCCCATTACTTCTAATGTTAAGGCAAAAGTTCATTATATAAATAAATCTCCCTTTATCCCAATTATCTCCTAGAAGAAAAATGTTATATGCATGTGTACAGCTACATTGTAGATTAATGTATATACATATAACCACTGATGGGTATCAAACCATACTTTGTAATTAAAGGCAAAGCATACTATCTTAAAATTTCAATACATGACAAAGTTATGAACAAATGAGTCTTATTTGTTCTATAATCAAATATAGAACTTGACTAGAATGACAAGAACAATGTAGTGGTAAAATTGTGGCAACATGAAAACTCCAATTGAATGATTTTAGGTTAGAACTCTCTGTTGATCCTCTTAATAAAATTTAGACAATGTCTTACCCCTAAAGTTTATTCTAAGCCCAACTCTACTCAATGCTATGAGCTAGGCATATGTTAAATAAATCTATCTTCTGTCTGCATTTTATTGCTAACCTCTAGCATATAGATATTTAGTTACATTAAGAAAGACCAACATGGAGTCTGTGTGGCCAGAAGGAGACCACTACGACTTCTTTATTTTTCTACAGGCAGATATTGAGAAGTTCTGAGAGAACTTGATTTAGTCTGACGGCAAACACCTACATTGGGCCCCACACATTTGATTGTTCCATGATCTTTGTACACCTACGTTTTGTTATTTTTATATTTATATTGAAACACTTTAAAAATTTGGATAATCGATGAGAATTATGGGACATGCCTTTAGCCCAAGCTTGAGAGGCAGAAGCTGGTGGATCTTTAAGTTCAGGCTGGCCTAATTCACACAGCAAGTTCCAGGCCAGCCAGGGCTACATGCTGAGACCCTGCCTCAAATGTTTTATTATTAAATTTGACATATGAGAAGAATCCATGCTACTTGGCATGAACAAACTATGCCTACACTTGCAAAGTCTAGCTGGTGGTTCTAAGATAATTCAATGTTCAGCCATTTTCAACCTACTCTCTGCATAGAGCGTAGACACATGGTTCTAAGGGGAAATCCTTCCTTGCCCCCTTTTAACCAAACGATGACTTCAATCCTAAGGTTGATTTCAAACCCAAGGCTGAGGCCATGGCTTCTCCCACAGCCTCCACCTTACCTCTGAAGCCCCTGGCCGCTGCACGGAGCTGTCAGAAGGCCACAGACACCCTTCCTGGAGGTGGGGAGGAGAAAAGTGAGGAACAAGAGATAAGAAAATCATTTGTCTCATAGAACAACAGCATTTGCCCAAAAAACTTCACACCCAAGTTTTTAAAACAAGAATCGCTTTGCATTTTGGACAATGGCTGACTTATCTAAAGCATGGAACAGGAAATCTCTGATCCCCTTGCAGGCCTCGCATCTAAGTGAAAGGTTAGGACCCAAGAGAAAAATTAGAAGGCTTAGCTCCTGGACGTAATGGAGCTGAAGTCAAATACCGGCTCACATAACCATGTGCTTCAAACAACCGTCGAACTATACTCAGTCGGTGTCTACGCCTGGAGCGTCCCTGGGCTAGAAAAACTGAGACTTCCCCAGAAGAATGCGTCATCATGGCCCTCCAGGACCAAGTGCCACCATCCCCCTCAGCACCATAGCCTGAAGTCTATGGTTGTCACAGAGACACTAACCACATCCAGGTCACCTCTCAATTAATTACAATTTCCAAAGCCTGGATGACCTTCCAAAGTCTTCTATTGAGTTTATTCTCCAGCCTGAATATTCACAGGTACAATGTGATAACTAGGAGGGATCTTTTCAAGAAATGTTTGGCCAAGGCCAGCAAAATAGCACAGTATTTTCTGTCAATCTCAAGGACCTGAGTCTGGTCCCCAACATCCAAATGGTAGCCAAGAGAGAGGTGATCCCTGAACGTTATTCTCTGACCTCCACGTATGCACCAGGGCACACAAACCTAGATGCATGCATACATTCATATAAATATACATACATAACTGGAAAAAATTGCTTTTGTTTTTCTAGACAGGGTTTCTCTGTGTAACAGCCCTGGCTGTTCTAGAACTCGCTCTGTAGACCAGGCTGGCCTCGAACTCAGAGATCCACCTGCCTCTGTCTCCCAAGTGCTGAAATTAAAGACATTTGCCACCACTGCCTGACTTACAAATGAAAAATTTAAGAACAGGTTAGTCTATCAAGGTAATAAACAAATAACTACATTACTGGGGCAGCCATTCCCCCACACCATAAATGTGTTTACAAAGCACTCTATGGTGATATGCCTTTTGAGTTCAGATTATTGGCTATTTACAAGGGCCTCCTAGGCCATGAACATTGTTAATGCCACAGAAAGATCCTACATTTTTGAACTTCTAGGAATATGTATATTGGACCTCTGGAGATGACTGACTTGCCCCAAACTGTAAAGTCCACAATGAAACACCCAGGCCCTCTGGTGCAAGCCCACACTGTGGCCGGCATTCTCATAAAAATACTCGCTTCGTGCTAAACACATTGTTTTGTACAATACATACAACCCGTTCCAAAGATACTCGCAGGACATCATCAACTCAGTAGCAAAAATATCAGCTGCCCCAGCTGCTCGGAGGAAGTGTCGGCATAAGGGTCTGACTATAAAATTATATAATGAACCACTACAGTCCGGGCCGGGCAACAGGTGAAGGACCAGACTTAAACCAAAGGCATGACTGGTCCCCTCCCAGCACTGCGGAGCGGTGGCGGCAGCTCTCAGGCTCCTGCTTGCTGACCAACCGGTGACTAGCACCGGCCACCAGAAAGCAAGTCTACTGGTATTCTGAGATTCTCTCACATCCTGCCATCCCTGTCACTGTTCTCTCCCACAGTCCTTAGTGTCCAGCTCCAATCATTGAACTGCACCATCAAGAACCCAGGCATGAGGGGTTCATACTGTCTCAACGGCAATGATTATTCCCAGTGGCTTCATTTCCCCCAGAATTTCTATCTTTGACTCTTTTGCTGGCTTCTGGGACCCTATTCCTCATATTGCATTGCCTTGCCCAGTTTTAATACGGGAGGAAGGGCTTAGTCTTACTGCAAACTTGACATGTCATATTTTGTTGATGTCCTTGGGAGGTCTGCCCTTTTCTGAATAGAAACAGAGGAGGAGAGGATGAGGACTTGCAGAGGGGAGATGTCTGAGGGGGGACTGGGAGGAGAAAAAGGGGAAACGGCAGTCAGGATGTAAAATAAATAAATTTTAAAAATTAAATCCAGCACACCTTTAATCCCAGCACTTGGGAGGCAGAGGCAGGCAGATCTCTGTGAGTTCGAGACCAGTCTGGTCTACAAGAGCTAGTTCCAGAACAGGCTCCAAAGCTACAGAGAAACCCTTTTTCAAAAAACCTAAGTCAATCAATCAATCCATTTTAACTTTTAGATGTACTGTAAGATTAGAATCCATTACTGTTCTTCTGCATGGAGAGATCCAGCCCCCAACATCAGTTTGGAAAAGCCTGATCTTTTCTAACTGAGTGCTTTTGCCATTCATGTTGACAATCTTCTGACCATCTTTGGGAAGGTTTATTTCAGAGCTGCCTAATGTATTCCACTGTTCATATATCACCACCCTGTATGTTAATATCACACTGTTTTAATTACTGTTGGCTTTGCATTAATTTTTGAGATCAAGAATTATGAGACCACCTCCTGAATTTATTGTTCTCCTCTGAAGTCATTTTGGCTATTGAGTGAAATAGCCAGTGAAATCATAGATGTTGTCAGATGGATTGTTTTAAAAAATTTCTGCAAAAAAAAAAAATTTCTGCAAAAAGTATCACTGGTTTGTAGATTTCTGTGGAAAGCAATGACTTTCTAAAAATATTAAGACGTCAATATTTTATTCATGTGCATAGGATGTCTTCCCACTTTGAGTCTTTAAATTTTCAGCAGTATTTTATGGTTTCTGATGAATAAATCTTTAGTCTCCTGTTAATTTTACTTTGAACTATTTTTAAGTCTATTGTAAATGGAAATGCTTTTTTAAATTCCTTATAAAGTCAGACTATCCGTTGCTAGTTTAAAGAAATACAGCTGACTTCTGAGCACCAATTTCATAGCTTTGCTACTTTGCTGGCTCTTATTAGTTCCTCTTTGTCTTGGTAGGCTCCTAAGACCATGTCACCTGCTAATAAGTGATCTTTCTTGATCCTTTCCCACTGAGAACCTGTGCCGACTAGTATTGGGTCAACTAGGGAACCTCAACAGAGAAAACACCTCCACAAGACCAGGCTGTAGGCAAGCCTATAGGGCATTTCATAATTAGTGACAGATGTGGGCGGGCCCAGCCCATTGTGGGTGGGGCCAACTCCTGATGCTATGAAAAGCAGGCAGAGCAAGCCATGAGGAAGAAGCAGGGAAACAGCTTCCTCCATGGTCTCTGCATCATCTTCTGCCTCCAGGTTTGCGCCTTGTGTGAGTGCCAGAAGCAGGTCTAGGCTACTAACACTCAAGAAAAACTCCTAACAACCCGCTTTTTCAATCTAGATCTCACCTCCTAAGGATTTTACAGCCTTTTGAAACAGTGCCGCTAGATAGGGATCAAAGACTCAAAATACAATAAGCAAACATAATAGGGAGTTGTTTTACTCATCTGCTCAATCCCCTTACTATAGTTAAAGGTATGTTCAGATTTCTATTTCTTCACAAGTCAGTTTTAGTAACGTGTTTCTAACCATTGGCCTACTTTATCGAGATTGTCCAATTTGCTAATATATGGTTATCTGTTGTCCCTTGCAATCCCCTTTATTTCTATATATCTTGGATAATGTTTTAAATTAAGAGAAGGCAGTCTGCAATTACAACTTGCTGACAGCTGTGGGCCAGAGCCTGCCGGTTGGGTTCTGTGACTACATGTGAGGAAATTCTCAGAGCTTGTGCTAAACTCTCCTTAGCACAACAGAGAGCAATGGGAATCACCAATGAGACCACTGCTTGGCATTCTGGCTTCTGTCAGCGATCGAGTGTCTCATGGTATCAAATCATTGCACGTCTATTTTTGTATTTGTTCCATGGGGAGAATTTCAAAGCAGAGGTCGAAGTGGTTGGTTTTCAGATGTTCCTCAACATCTTTCTGATAAGAAACTCTCTTCTCTGCCTTTTTTCGTATACTTTTCTACCATCCAGATACTACCATACTAGCTTTTCTACACTAGGGGGCAGTATCAGCTCAGAAATCAAGCCAGTCCCGCTACAGGGCCACACATCCACCGGCCGCACACACTTCCTCTTTCATTCCTCCGTGGAAATCTATCATCAGACTTCTTAAGACTCCTAACTCTGCTCAATCTAGGACACATCCCTTAAGAGGCAGGCAAATCTTCCAGGAAGACCTGCTGGGAAGGGGAGACTTGGAATCCTTTCCATTTGTAGAATAGTGCAGTGCACATTGAGAGAAGCAGCCCCCAGGTGCTTCCCCAGCTGAGAGAGGCCTGAAGAAGGTAGTGGGGGGAGTAGCGGGAGGTGGGGCGAACCGCTGCACTCCAATAAAAGCCAGCCAGAACTAAGAAAGCTTAGAGGACTGGCAGACTTTGCAGCCTTGGCTGTCACCATCCTGCTACCAGCTCCAGTCTTTTCTTTGCATAGAGAGAGGTGGTTTACTCATGCCACGGAAAAGCTGGCACGGGGTTAACTTCTGCCCACAAACTAGCCCTGGAGGGGAGGCTCCTCAGCAGAGGCCACCTAGAATTTCAGAGTGATTCGGAAAACTTTGAAACTCTTATTATAGTCATACCAAGAGAAAGATTACCATTTGATTAATGCTAATGACTTATACTCTTAAAAGGTTACTAAAGTGCTGTTGATGACATTTTGGGGACCTGCAGTGGCTCGGTTGGTTAAAAGGGCTTGTTGTGCATGACTGAGGATCTAAGATCACGGTGGCAGGAGAACCAAGTCCTGAGAATTCTTCGCTGACCTCCACACATGTGCCGTGGCATATGATAATAATATGTAAAATTTTAAATATTCATAAATTATTTTAGCATGTTATTTTTACAAATACTTTGCACCAGTACAAATCATTATCAAACTACCTCTCTGGAGTCTAAAGATGATTGGATTTCCCAGCATCTTTTGTTATGTGAAAAGAGGATTTTTAGTTTTTAAAAGAAAGAGTCTCACAGTGTGGAACTTGGGTTGGTCTAGAATTCGCCGTGCATACATTCTCATCACAGGATT